TTAATTTAGACCCACCTACTAAAATGTTACAATTATTATAATTTAATTATTAATTATTCTACCTACCTAATCTAGTATATTAGATTGTAAAAAGACAACATTTCCAACTCGTCAGTATAGAAAATAGTTTCAGAAAATTTTTCATAACAGACATTGCATTTTTTTTTTTATTTTTCTTACGCAATTCATATTTTGGACAAGACAAAAACTTTCATCAATTTTGTTTCACAAAACTGCAGTTATAAAAATTTAAGAAGTGACTCCAGTTTCAAAATAACGTCAATTATTGTAAATTCAGCGTTACCTTAAATTGTTTCGTCTTCTATGAATATAAAAACAAACAACATTAAAATAAAGTCTTGGAGTTAAAGTTACATTAGCATGAAATTTCTTAACAACTAATGTTTAAAAAATATATAATACGCGTAATAGCATGCTGCACAATACAATAACTTTTAATCAGTTTAAAATTAAGACAGTCCAAAAGAAAATGTGGAGAATATCACATAATGTTATTTATATTTATCATTAATTTTTACGTTACAAGAAAAACTTAATAAACGTTCAATACTTGTATATTTCTTGCGTGCAGCACAGATTAGATTTTTTGTTCCCATGAAGTGTTTTTATTAATCGACCTCAATGCAATGTCTTTCTGCTCTAAAAGACGAATACATACAGGGCTTTATAATAAATGCCATGCAAAAACTTAATCAAAAAAAAAAATGAGTTTAACCAATTCTTTAGCGAACTAGTTATGCAATTATTACATTTGAAAAAACCTACTTAGACAATTCGTTAAAATTTGTTAAAAGTATGCAAACGTTGCTGCGTTTTTGTTCAGATCGAAAAAAATTTTTAACTTTTGGAAAGAAAAGAAGATAATATCAATAATACAACCATAACGTGCAGTCTACATTTTCATTACTATTTCAATCTCAATTTGTCAGAAAATAATATATGTTTAAAAACTAATCCATAACACTTTAAAACTAGATTTATCAGAACATAACTGTATATATAATCAATGATTCATTAATATGACGTCATTTTTAGGTGATTTACAGGATAAATATAATTCTTACGTCTGATTCAAATTTAAGCTCAAAAGTGATGCAAATTAATGTCAGAAAAAAATTGTAATCGATCGTATATTATTTACGAAATAAACTAAAACAAAATCATTGTAAAGCCTTAAGCTGTGATGTGAATCGTAACAATATCAGTTCACAGAAAAAAATTGTACTTTCCCAGAATCAAACCCTTTTAATCCCTCAAAACGAAAACAAAAACAGAAATATGACCGAAAAATAAACGAAAATAAAGAGAAAAAAAAAACAAACAAAAACGCAGAAACGTCGCATACCCGCCTAGAAAAATTAATTTCAGATGTTATTACTCAAGTTGATCGGAGTCTGACAGTACGGGCACTCAGACTGGGTCAAGGCGCACGTGTTGCACAGCACGAAGTGGTTGCAATTCAACGTAACTGTCCTGTTCCTTTCCTCACATACCATACATTTCGATGCTGTCTCGCGATACAACACCTTCTCTATTTCTTCAACATCCTGTCTTAAAAGTGCATGGATGCTCTTGAGCTCGCTTAAAGAGAGCTTGCTAAGCTCCGACACCTTTTTAATACTGTGTAAATGCGGTCCACCCTGAATCTTCTCGTATTCTTGTTGAAGGGCGTTATACTGTGTCAGGGTATCATTCAATTTGGACTCAGTTATCTGAACTTTACGGTTCGCCTCTTCTGTTTCCCGTTGCCATGCTTCGCATGCTGTTCGCGCTTGCGCAAGACGTTCTTCCCAGTTAGAGATCTGTATTCGAGAACTATGTAATTCTTCACGTAAACGTACTACTTCTAAATTATTGCTCAGACTCGGCGAAATGCTAAAGTTAAAAAAAAAAAATACGTAAATGTTTAAGTTTATAAAAATTAGATCCTTACAACTATAAAATCTTTTGTTTTCTATTTTTTTCAATTATGACTAGTTCATACTTCCCTCTTGGGAGATAAACTTATACTGGTATTCGTATTGCAAAAAATTACAAATAGGAAATAATGTTACTAAAATACATACCTGCTAAAGTTATTGTGGTTGCGCGTTGTAGGTGAAATGCTACTCTGTGCAGGCGGGAAATCGAAGAAATTCGAAAACGAATTCATCTTTGAAGTGCCACTACTACTGAGAGGAATTTGAGAATGATTAAGGTAATGATCAATCTGTTCAGACTGCGAGAATCTGGCAGCAGATAGAAAACTGGATTGCAACTGTAATGGACTGTTACTGGTCGGGCTGAATGAGGTCAGTGCGGACCTTGAAGCGCCCGGAATGTTTACAGGGGCCGAGCTGCCTAACAGACCAGCTGAAGATGCCAGACCGACCGATATAGAATTTGACACCGATGGAGATTCAGATTCCAATTCACGTTCTAATGAAGTTAAATTTAATGGATCTTCTAACTGTAACTCATCTAAAGCGTTACCTAAAAGAATAATTATTTATTTCAAGTATTAATTAATTTTCAAAAAATTTAAATACTTTCTACTTCTACTATTTTTAATTTAGACCCACAATAAGTAGAGACTTACCTACAACACTTTCAACAGTGTCGTTCCCAGTACTGAAGAAGGACACTGGGGGCCCTATCCCACTGTAAGCTAAGCACAAATTTTGCTTCTTTTGCTCTCGTTCTATCGCATCTAAAAGGGAAACTAAATTATTACAAATATAATACATATATCTATATATGTAAAAAGAAGATCAATACCTAACGTTGGATCATTGTCGATCGCCAATAGTTGTTTTGTTAATTCTAATGTGCCTATTGTAGTTGTAGGTCTACCATATGGAATAGGTTTGTGAGTTAATTGGGAACCGGGGGCTTTATTGTGAGAACTGCCATTGGAACCTACAGATGTAGTCGAAGCTGATTCAGATGCCTCGCCACTACCATTCTAACATGAAAACAAGTGACAAATATTAAATACAAATTACGATAAATAAAACAGTGTTAAAAAAGATATCAAAAACTTACAGAACTATCACTACTTTTGTCCTTTTTGTCATGTGTTAAGGGCGGCAGAGCATTAGATAAGATATCTGCTAAATTTGTACCAGTATCTAAAGGAACACTGTCCCGAGTCAACCCCATCTCCTCTAAAATATAAAAGAAGTCAAAATTTATGAATAAATAAAAAACAATAAATATTTACGTTCCACATGTGCAAAAGCACAAAAAACTCCTCTAGGACAATACCCTGACTGCTGCACGTCGTTACATTTGGTGCTTTTGTAAATTTCAGGGTGAAACTGTTGTTCGGTCCTTGTGTGACAATATGAACATAAATCCCCAGAATCACAGTTAGCTGGCTCACCCCACTCTTCTCCATGCTTGACATTTGGGCAAGGAGAAGAGNACTCTTCTCCGTGCTTGACATTTGGGCAAGGTGTTGATCTGTAATAATAAATTAATAAAATCGATCAAAATCAGTTATAAATTTTAAAAATAAAAATAAACAGAAAGCCCCACCGATATTTAAATTTCCGAGGACTTCGTCTTTTGTCTTTATTATTGTGATACTGGGGGCAGGCATACCCTTGTCTACAAAGTCTAGGAGGTCTTTTACATGGCTCTGTTTTGTAATTTGCTAATACATAATTTGTATCTGAAAATCAAACACGATTATAAAATAAAGTAAAATCTTAAAATCAGTCATTGTTTTTTTCCAGCACCACAATTATTTGGAGAAATATAAAATTTAAATAGTTAATAAAAGTTCAGTTATTACACTGTTAATTATACCTTGCCATTTTGGATCTTCATTCATTAAATTTCGTTCTTTATCTAAAGCATTTGGGCCATTTGCATTGGTACCTTCTGTTTCAGCAACCTCAAGTGCTTGAATTTCCTTTATGTCATAAACAGGAGGTCTGTGGTCATTTATACCATGAGCAAATGCACAATGTAAACCATTTTTAACACAGTAACCTCGTGAATCTGTGTCATGCACGCACATACATGTCTTGTAATATCTTAAATGGTACCTTCTCTCTGTATCACCAGCTGTGCGATGAAGATATGGGCAACTAAAACACATAGCAATTAGGTAAAATTAAAACTACAGTTAAATATCTTCACACAATTACTGGACAGAAAGAGATATTAAGATACAGCTTATTCTAATCAAAACTAATTTTCTGGAAAAATTAATATCCACAGAAACTAAATGGAAAGTGATAAGGGAGAATAACACTAACTGAGGGTAATCACAGAATACATAGGAACATAATATAACGACAAAACAGCAAGGCACAACACAAAAGTTTAAAGTGAATTTTGTCAAAACAACTAGTAACACTTCATAAACTGTAACATAAGGTTTTAGGTGCATAGTTTCATGAGTATCAAAAAAAATTAAAACACCTATTAAACTATAATTTGTAGTGTTTACTATAATTTTATAATTATCACAGATAAACTCATTTAATGCAATTGCAAATACTAGCAACTGATTTAAATTGATTTTCTGTCTTGTAGAAGAATTGTTTTTTGCAGTTACTTCTTACAAGTGTCTTAACAATTGTAAAATACAGAAAACAAGAACTTTAAATTACATTAATATGAAGGTTAAATAACAATGGCAGCTGTATAGGTTATCTGTTCTAATATGTTGCTCCTGTTACAAATTGCATATTTTCTATTAATATTTCAGTAAACCTAACAACGATCCCATTTTAAGCGTAAATTAACGATGCTTTTGCAGCGGGAAGAGTTTATTTAAATGGCACACCCACAATATGTAAAAAGTGACAGATCCAGTTAACCAAAAAGGTATAACTTACTCGTCTCCGTCCGGACAAATGCCAGTTGTTTCGTCGTATTTAGTACAATAATTATCTGCACTGTAATTAAAGGTCCCATCTCGTCTTCGTACGGGCCTTCTTCGTCTTTGGTTCATAAAATGCCAGTGAAAACAGGTGAAGGGACGATGCTGTGTACATTTGTGTTGTAAGAAGAGCGGGCATTGCTCGACGCGAAATTCTTTCAAATATCTAAAACATTCGATTTCTCTTAGCAAATGGCACACCGTTCAACGTTGAATTTACTATTAGATTGATCGCGATAAGAATTATGCGCAAAATGTGCACTTACGAGTAATGATTTGGTTTCTCAGGTTGAGTTGTCAACAAAGGTTTAGACTCCGACGGCATTTTGCAATCACTAGCGCGCACGGCTACTGCGCAAGGCACGCTTCTTTTGGTCCAATTAAAATTCGATAGCGTCGTCACGTGACCGTAGAAAAAATGAAGGAATTTTGATAACTCAAGGCCGTTTATGTTTTGGTAGTGTGTAATATGCAATCTATGCATTTCACAAATGCAAATGCAGTAGCAATCTATTACAGTTATGTAATACGTTTTTTGCGTCAATTATTAACCATTACCTATCTCAAAAATTATAACACAGAATAGCCTTATAAATGTAGCATTTATTTGGTCGTATATTTTATTTATCTCAATTTGGAACTCATGCTGTAAAAGTAAACTGCATTAGTTGAAATATTTAAATTACCTTATTAAGTTTCTGTGCCCATATAATATTGTTTTGGCACAATAAAAATATCATTTTTTTATGGGACGATTGAATAAGAGAAAACAAACGATAATTCATATGCAGTTCAATTAAGTTAAAACTTCTGTCAATTTTTACAAAAGAAAAGGTACCTAATTAGATACCTTTATAATACTTCATTCTTTGTGCTGAAAACTATAATTTTATTAAAAAGAAAAATACTACAAACAATAATTTTTTCCATTCTTAGGATTAAGTACTAATAACTGGACAGGGTCGGCTTCAGATTTATTCGAGCATCTTAATTTTTTTTGTTTTAGTATCCGTGATTTTACATTACAAAATAGAAAATGCTTCTTTTACTATTGCTTACGTAATTTTTTTCAAAACGAAACGTATGAATATTTTTATAGCAATCAATTTGTGATGAAGTTTTTTGGTTTATATAACTCTAAAATTGCATTATATTTTGGTAAATATTGTNCTCCGACGGCATTTTGCAATCACTAGCGCGCACGGCTACTGCGCAAGGCACGCTTCTTTTGGTCCAATTAAAATTCGATAGCGTCGTCACGTGACCGTAGAAAAAATGAAGGAATTTTGATAACTCAAGGCCGTTTATGTTTTGGTAGTGTGTAATATGCAATCTATGCATTTCACAAATGCAAATGCAGTAGCAATCTATTACAGTTATGTAATACGTTTTTTGCGTCAATTATTAACCATTACCTATCTCAAAAATTATAACACAGAATAGCCTTATAAATGTAGCATTTATTTGGTCGTATATTTTATTTATCTCAATTTGTAACTCATGCTGTAAAAGTAAACTGCATTAGTTGAAATATTTAAATTACCTTATTAAGTTTCTATACCCAAAAAATATTGTTTTGGCACAATAAAAATATCATTTTTTTATAGGACGATTGAATAAGAGTTTAAGAGAAAAAAAACGATAATTCATATGCAGTTCAATTAAGTTAAAACTTCTGTCAATTTTTACAAAAGAAAAGGTACCTAATTAGATACCTTTATAATACTTCATTCTTTGTGCTGAAAACTATAATTTTATTAAAAAAAAAAATACTACAAACAATAATTTTTTTCCATTCTTAGGATTAAGTACTAATAACTGGACAGGGTCGGCTTCAGATTTATTCGAGCATCTTAATTTTTTTTGTTTTAGTATCCGTGATTTTACATTACAAAACAGAAAATGCTTCTTTTACTATTGCTTACGTAATTTTTTTCAAAAGGAAACTTGTGAATATTTTTATAGCAATCAATTTGTGATGAAGTTTTTTGGTTTATATAACTCTAAAATTGCATTATATTTTGGTAAATATTGTAATTCCCATTTTTTTTATCAAAACAGAGCATAAATACAAATTGTTACAATTTGTAAACCCCTTACATTATTAATAAAGTGAAATTAATTTTTTAAGAAAACATATACCAAACACTAGAAAAGGTATCAAGGAGATATACTGTTTACTTTAGCAGTAAAAAAGCAATATGAAGTCGAATAAAACTGATTCAGTCAATATTTTTGCAGTTAATTACTGTTTAAAAAACAGTAGCTCATGAGTCAATTATATTTTCTGAAGCCGACCCTGTCCACCCTTTATATTGCTAAATCTAAACAAAATATGTTTTTTTCTCCATGTAATGGAATATGGGAAGAATTAAATCTTCTCCGTGCTTGACATTTGGGCAA